TATTTCTCCTATGATGAATCAGTATTTACAATGGATCAATCTCTTCTCCCTCCAAAAAAAGTCCAGAAAGGAAAAGGAAGGATCCTTTCCACTCTCAGAGCAACAGTCTCTCTTCTTCCATGCAGCGGCTGTAGCTGGATCTCTTTCCAGATACACATGAGGGGGGTCTCCAAGCCCCTCTCGGCCCTTTGACTCCAAGCGAGGGTCTTTCTGTTCCGTGGACTGCATAGGAGGGACAAGGCTCGCTTCACCACGTCATATCATGAGGTGTAAGACATCCCATGAAGGTCCCTTCCTCGAGGGGTCAAGTTCCTTCAAGTCAGAACGTCTTGGGCAGCTTTCAGTTGAAAACCTTTGCCTGAAGAGTTCTCTCAGAGCTCCTGTGCTCTGTCTCAGGCTACTAGCTTAGCAGCAACAGCAGGGGGGCCAAGGTCACCCCCTCCGCATTCCATCTGGCCGTCCCAGTCCAGCTCTGGGATGCCTTGAGCTTCTTAGCTCCTCTCTTCGGTGCATGCTGCACTTTAGGACTTCCCTCAAGTGGGAGTCCACCCCCTCCATTTAGGAGAGGTCACAAAAGGGTTTTGGGGGGTTTTGGTTTCAGTTCTTACTCCAACTCTCTCTGTAGAGTTTAGTTCTCTCTCTGCTGCTGCATGCCTGTTTAACTGCTTCTTCAGTTCTTATCTCTTCTGGCTCTCTGCCACTGTTCTCCGGTCAGTGCTGTTTCTGCCGCTGCTTCTGCTGCTGTTCACAGTGGAGAAACTCCCCCCAGCTCTTACTACAGATACCTGACCCAGTCTAACACCGTTTCAGGTTCCTGCAGCCCCCCAGCCAGGGGCTGGGGGGGGCCTAACCCTCAATGGGGCTCTGGGCCCCTTCCTCATGGCTTACAACATGGCCACTCTCCTCCAACAACAACTACTACCCTTCTTTTCCAGTCTGGTTGTTGACATGTTTATATTTTGCAAGAGCGCTCATTGGCTCAACCCCAAGGGTCACCACCCCCTGGGGGGTTACCATTTTTTTAACTCCAGGGGGAAAACTTCTTTTTTTTCCTCCACCACAGGGTGGAAGAGGCCTGGTTGGATGGATGCATGGATGGATGGAGGTAGCCAGAAGATGGTCCAGGAGACAGAGTTATGTTGGGAAGGATGGATGGATGATAGATGATGGACGATTGTGATTGTTGGTCAATAGGCAGGTGGGAAGCATCAATCATTGAACAGATGCTTCCTGGGATTGGTGGACGCTTGATGGTGGATGATGATGTGGTTGGGGAGAAGGAGCGATGAGTGGAACTGGGCTGGGAAACTGGTGACAGGTTGAGGATGGGGAGATGGCTGGGACCTTGGGAGGGTAGAGAAATGGAGGGATTGGTGGTTGGTTGGATGGCTGGATGATGGATGCTGATGGTGGATGATGCTGAAGATGATGATGTATAGTGAATGGATGATGATGGTGGTGATGGTGGATGCAATGGGCATTGGTCAGTAGGTTGGTGGAAAGGTAGAAGGTTGATTGGATGGTGCTGGGGTCAGTGGATGCTCGATGGTGGGTGGGGATGGGATGGAGGGGAGAGGGTGGGGGCAGAGGGTGGATGATGGATAAAGGATAGCTGGGTGGATGTTGGATGGGCATGTGGATGGACATGTGGCTGCAGATGTTCATCACCTTCCCCTCTCCGTTGCTGCCACAGCTGACCCAGATGATCTATCCCCACCCTTGGTGGACCCCCCAGCTGAGGCCCCCTCAACTGAGGCACCCCCAGCTGAGGACCACCAACCTGACAGCTTCCAAACTAAGGCTACCCCGGCGCGGGCGGTGCTGAGGGAGCTGAGGGTCTCCAGCATCACCCACAGCTCCGTGGGGCTGCAGTGGAGCGTCCCCGAGGGCCCCTTTGACTCCTTCACACTGCAGTACCGGGATGCCCAGGGCCAGCCCCAGGCCCTGCCCATCGATGGCGAGTCCCGCTCGGTGACGGTGCCGGGGCTGTCCCCGTCCCGCCGGTACCGCTTCCACCTCTATGGGCTGCGGGGCGGGAAGAAGATCGACCATGTCTCCACTGATGTGATCACAGGTGAGGGGGAAAATGAGAGGGATGGAGAGATCAAAGGATGGAAGGATCAAGGGATCCTATCATGATGACATCCCCACCAACCATCATCCACCGTCATCTTCATCATCTGTCATCCACCATCATTGTCATTATCTACCCTCCATCATTATCATCATCATCCAACATCCATCATCATCATCATTTTCCTCAATCACCTTCCATCATTCATCCATTGTCATCACAATCCATCACCATCAT